AATGGTCCTTAGGTCAAGGTTTTGACCTTCAGGCCTAGTTCACTACAGTCCCCCCTTTGGAAATCATCGCCTGTCCATGGGGATGAGTTCCAAACATGAACTTATGCCTTCGAATGTCCTTGAGCTTGTTGTAATCCAGCGAGGAAACAAGAGTCAAGAGTAATCCAGCAAGGAAAACAAAAGTCAAAAGTAATCCAGTAAGGAAAACAAAAGTCAAGGTAATTCCACAATGTTCTTGGTAATTCCATTGTGTTGATGATAATTCCATAATGCTGTTGGTAATTCCATTGTAGCAATGCTTTAACCCCTTGGAAACAGAGTCTGTAATCCATTGGAAAAAGTCATATAATTCACAACGGTAAATCCACAACGATTGGAAGTGTTGATTGATCAGCATACAGAGGGGTTCCCTTGGATTGAACTGAAGATGCGGCCACTGGATGAAGATTGGAGACCAACGTCAGGATTGCAGGTCTCCTCCAGCGACGGTCGTCTCTGGGCGACGTCCAGTCTGTGCCGTTCTGGTTCAAATGTGTCATGCAATTATGTGGTTTAAGGTGGGCTTATGAAGGGGATTTTACATAAGGCCTTAAACTATATGCACCTGGTGTGTAAGCTATTATGATTGGGAACAGCTACAGCTACCAGTTAAGGGATGGAACATGCTGAAAAAGGGTAACTATAGGGATTTATACCTACAGAAGAGTGTTCCAAACTATTTTTCCATTCCTAACTTGGTTTAAGTTAGCTTTACATGGCAAAATATAGTTTGGTTCAATTGTCTGTTGTCTATTAGATGAACGACTTGAGATTGGGTGTTTGGTTTCCCCATAAATGTTTTGGAAGTCTATGGCGAGACTCATCAAAAAGAATTAGCTATCCCCCCGAATAGAATTGTTCGAGTAGGTTCGGCTTAAGCGTTGTGAGATCAATGTAGATTATGGTACTTAAGGTAGCATTAATCTTTATTGACTCTGCAAAGATTGCAATTTAACGAATGAACTGCATGTTGGCATGGTTAAAGGCCTCTTAGTCTCTAACTTAACTACACAACAAAATTCATTCTTGCTTGGGGTGTTCAGAAAC